AAATATTTAGCCTCCCGTCCCTCACTCCCACCCATCGCTCCCATGCTCCCCTTCACCCCCACAGATGGCTGAGCTGTCTCCATCCCCCCCATCCATCCGCTTTGTACAGTACGAGCAGTCCAGCCACTGCCACTCCATGCGCGACTCTAGCGTCAGCTACGCCTCGGCTGTGCTCACACTCACCCCACCCTCCACCCAAGGGGCCTCGCTCTGAGCCTCCACCAGCCCGCGCACACATGACTTCCAGTCGAGCCACTGCCAACCCATGCACGATTCATTCAGTGTCAGCTACGCCTCTGCGGAGGCTGCGATGTGTCACCCTGTATAGTCATCATCATGCTGCCCTGCCTGATCACCACTGCTCCGCTGCAGATACAATTTGTCCTTGTTCTGTCTGATAAAACGTTCTGACAGAAGCATCTGCTGTTTACATACTGCCTTGCACGATAGAAGCTTGCGAATTGTTCCTGAATAAAATACATCTTCCTGCGGAAAACTCTGGTAGATAGATAAATCAAATGTTGAATGTGACCTCACACAAGGTATCACACATGGACAGCTGTGCACACCAAGCTCCAAAATCTGTCACTATTGGCCACGGGAGGAATCCCGCTAAACCCCGAAGTCGCATCCATCCACCGCTAGATCCTAGACAGAGGCAGGGTAAGTACGGATAGGTACCGTAGATTAGGGTTCAGGATGGTATCCTAAAAGATGGCTGCGCGATGTGCGATGGGCCCAGACAGGAACCTCTGGTTGCTCGGCGGCATGATGTAATCGTTACTACTCGCGTGCCTGCCGTCATGGATAAAATCCTCCCCTGGCCGCTGCATCATCGCAGGGCTCTGTTGCCGCGAGGAACCCTGCGATGCGTAGCCTCGTCGCACGTTGCACTCTGCGACAGGTTGCGATTCGCAGGAGCAGCAGCTGCTCATGCCGTTGCAACTCCGGCAGATTTTCGAAGGAAGCTGAGCACTCAAGTCAGGTGAAGGCGACGCGGTCCGTTGAAACTGACGAGCATTCACGCGACCCGAGTCCTCACCCCAGGTGATTTGCGACGGAGCCTCCCATGCGACGCCATCAAAGTTTTGCGCAAATCCCGCGTGCGCGCGTGCGGCGTTGGTTGTGTTCCGCGACTGCCGGTGTCCGATCCGCGTGTCCGTCATCATGTACAGCTTGCTGTCCACGTCAGCCCACTCCCGTGCTGACTCAGACTCACAGAATCCGATCTCGGCCGTGACGTCATCGTGCTCTAGATTCAGCCCAGAGGAGGAATGAGCCGTGGGAAAAGCACCCTTCGTGCCGGGAGAGGCACGGCGACGCAAACTGCGGGGCTTAAAGTGCGCGAGCGTGGCGAGGACCTTCGCTTTAAGAGACGACCCTTCGGATTGAGAAGACAGAGGAGGCGCGCGATCCGAAGCGGATGTGGTTGCTCTCGCGGAATCCGCGTTGTAGTCTTCCTCGTCAAGGGCAGCGATCTGTAAAGAGCGGGGGAGAAACAAAGCAGTGTCTCACAGTGACGTTAGATTTGAGCGAGGAAACCGCAAGGAAACATTTAGGTGGTGCAGCGTTCAAGCGGCGCGGCGTAACTCGGGGCTTACCTCGGCAAGGAAAGGATTTGGAGTTGCGGGGGGCGATGGTCGCGGAGGGAGCCTGTGTTCGCGCTGGCTGGTAACACTCGACACGGACGACGTTGGCGAAGGGTAGATGGACGGCGTTCTGCTGTGGCGACCCTCGCCACGATGTGGCGACAACTCGATTTGATGCTTCGCTGAGTAATCCGCTTGTGTCCGACCGCTGCCTTTCAGGTTACGGCTGCCGCTGTAAGTCTTTGATTTATACAACGCGGGCTGATCACCAGCTCCTTCCTCGTCCTCGTTCTCATCCTCTCCGCCTCGGCCCGAACCAAAGCTGTTAAATCGGCCCGAGCCGAAGCATTCGCGGGTGACGAAGCTAAAATCAATGCTCTCCTCGCTGCGCGCGCTGCAGCAACCCGGCGACGACACACGCGTCGGTATCTCCAACGTGCCCGCGGCGCTGCCATGCGAATCGCGATAATGAAACGGCTCGCTCGAATCTCGGTGAAACGGCCCGTCTCGAATGAGCGGGATCTGGCCGTCGCTTCGCGGGGGGAGATGTGGCGACACGCCGCGAGAGCGAGACGCGTGAGAACCGTCCCTCGAAGGGGGCGTCAATGGCGGCCGAGCCGCGGAGGGAGCACGCTTCGGCGTGAGGAAATAGGTTTCTCCCGGCACGAGCGGAGCGTGCGGCGCGACGAGAGCTTCGAGCGATGAGAGGTTCATGTGGGGGTACTCTGAGAGAACGGTCTGGGCTGTTAGTTGCTCGCTAGGGTCTGCCGGCTTGTCAAAGAGACGGATTGTTCCGTCAAGGAGCATGACGATGACGGACTCCTGCTCGACGGAGTTCGTCAGGCTGACTCGTGGCTTGCTGGAAAATCGCGCAGCCATGGCTCCGATTGTGGTCATGACTAGGTGCGGTGGAGCTTCGATTTCCGAAGATTATACTTGAGGTGTAATGCGGCGTTGCCAGTGTGGCACTAATTCTAGGTGAGCTCTGGTCCTCGTGAGAAGTGATAAATCCTGCTGTGAAAGGAGAAGAGCGAGAGGGAAAGGAGTTAAAAAGGTATTGTACGGTCATGGCCTCATTTCTCTGGACTGTTGCTCCAGCGACCGCGAAAACCGCGTGACAGGCTGGAAACTCGGAGGACGCAAGCATGAATTCGATCTGCTAAAACTGACTGGTCCCTTCCCGCTTTGGACCAACCACACCCACTCCAGACCAGACAAAAGCAGTGTGTTGGGGAACAGCAGCGCGCCGAAACGAAATTCACCAGGATGGATCCAGGTGGTGCCTTTTGCCCATGGGCTGGTTTGGCAGGCATGTGTTGCACCATCTGTAGCCGCAAGTTCCCCTCATTTTGAATAGCACACAATGGTTTTCCCCCTAAAACCACGAATTTGTCGGACACATTACATCGCGCATTTGAGGTCGGAGACAAACCGCGAACATATACTTCAGCAAACCCCGAAAACCAAGCAGGGACTTGCGGAAGTCGGTGATTTTGTTTGAAATCCCTCTCATTTCACCGTGCCGAGAATGGCTGCAGAGTCGATGAACGAGAGAAGAAATCGCATAGCAACGCTCAGCAGAAATTGCGATCCTCAACCTTCCATCATGACCACTCGCTTTCTTCGCAAGCTGCAGCTTGTTGCGAGCGGGCATTCAACTCAAACATTTGTAAAAATCAGCCGATTTGACAGGCTTTTCAAATCTTCGCTCGTGTCGTGTCCAATTCTATGCCAGCGAGAAGTTGCACCAGAAAATGCGACACGAGAAGGGACCACCAAACCAGCTCGTCGTCAATCGTTGTTCCTTATGAACAAACTTTCTTCTCTGTGCTGGCCGTATATAACGAATAACGACAGCGCAGACCACCATACACATGGATCCCTCCCAATCGGAAGACATCACCCACACAACATGTTGCTCTGCGCCTCGGCTAGCGTCGCATCGAAGTTGTTTCTGGAACCCTACAAAAGTCGACAGAGGGATGAATGTTCTGTTGGATGCTTGGCAGAGTGCATACACCGTACTGTAGTCTATGCTGTAGACCGTACTGTACCGAAAGCGCCAACATCCAATGCCCACCGCACCGTACACACCGGAAATAATGCAGATTTTGGCTCGTAAATACGACAGAATGGTCCAACGGTCGGTGAGCTGACTGACAGGATGGCCCCTATGGCCCCTGTGGTTTTGAAGCATGCCATGCCACCCATACACGCTATTGTGTTTTTCTTTGCTTTTTTGTAAGGATAGAATACATCATGACATGCATCATATCCACAGTCGTGCCTGAGTACTACACCACAGCTAGTGTGCATTGTGTTGAGAGAGATATACGTGTGCGAAAGGCAGTGATGGGATCGTAAAATACTACACACCACAGCTAGTAACCAGATCTCTTTTATTTACAGTGTAATTCTCCTCAAACTTGGGTATAACATTGTACCAATGCTGAATCAGTGTAAATTTGTACAATCAAACTGGAGAATACGTTGTTGGGAACCAACTGCAACCTGAACAGGCCCTATTTTATCAGGGTAAATCACCCTGATACCCTGATTATCAGGGTGGTTTTTGGGTGTAACACTGATGCCGTAGGGTATTTTTTTTTGGACCTTGATTTTCCCTGATGTGCCAGGGTTTACGAATAAGGCACACTGTCGCCTCAGTGTTCCCGATTCTTTTAGCGAGTTTTACCCTGAAGCGAGTACCAGCCACCCCCCGCTCCCCCCCCCCCCCCCTCCCCCCCCCCTCCCCCCCCCCCTTTCCCTAACCCCCCTACCCCGTAACCCGGGATTCCCGATTGCCAACTGTCGAAGCTGTAAATTTGTTATTGTGTGCTCTGTTAATGACAATTTCAGCAGGGTTCGAGAACATTGTACACTGATGCCTCAGGGTTGAATATTCAAACTAAGCAGAAACCCTGATGAATCAGTTTTCCCACAAGGGGTCACACTGATAATCAGGGTTTTGAACATGTGCAACACTGATCGTAAGGGTTGGCAAAAACCAAAAATTAGCCCTGAACCTGAACACTTTGACGAAGATCATGTCAGCACGTGGCAATCATCCGTCCTATGTTCTCCCCAATCCTCTGCTTGGCTTTCTCGCACACAGGCGGGTGGCCAATGTACAAGTCAAAGAAGGCTCCTGGTCAATGTGGTGTACACAATGAAAACGGAGTTGTATAAACCAGAGTAGATGAGTAATCGAAAACTGATAGAAATTATCATATAAAAGAATGGCTGGCAAAATATGAGGGTACGCCCGCAGATTATGGAAAGTCAACAAGCAACCATTAACAAGTTCTGACAACTCAGCAGGCAACAGCAGGAGTCAATCTGCACAATGCAGGGAGTGAAGGAGACTCACTGCATAGAGGAGCGCTGACTATTGGGTCCATGCGCCTGCCGTCAACTGGAGGGGATAGGGCGGTGGGGAAGGGAGGGGCGAGAGATGGACGGGGGAGGGCGGGAGAGGACTAAAGTGATTAAAGCGGACTCACTGCATAGATGGGCTCTGACAATGGGATCCATGCACCTGCCGTCAACTGGAGGGGAAGGAGGGTGGGGAAGGGAGGGGCGAGAGATGGAGGGGGGGGGACGGGAGAGGACTGGGATGATTTTTTAGGCGCCTCAAAAATCAACTAGATGGAGGGGGAAGGACGGGAGAGGACTGGGATGAGTAGAGTGGGCTCACTGCATAGATGAGCACTGACAATGGGATCCATGCACACAGATGCACTGTATTTAGCCACACACACACACACACGCACGCACGCACGCACGCACGCACCTATGCCCGCACGCACGCACGCACGCACGCACACACAAACACACGCACACACAAACACACGCACACACACGCACACGCGCACACTCACTCCATCCAAAGTGATTTCAGGGCACTCACTCTCAGTGAGCAGTGTTCCTCCTGGCTGCCAGGTGAAGTCGATGGTGGTGCCCTGAGGTCAATGGGGGAGAGGCACAGAGGAGGGTGGCACAGAGGAGGGTCGCAGGGAGGAGGGTCGCAGGGAGGAGGGTCGCAGGGAGGAAAATCAGTGATAGAAGCCTGTTGGGCGGGGAGGGCAACGGATGAAAGCTCGAGGCAGGTGGAGGAAAAAGGCATAAGAGAAGTACGGTTACACAGGGGCGAGGGGAAGAAGAGTGCAGAGTGCAGAGAGCAGAGAGCAGAGAGCAGAGAGCAGAGAGCAGAGAGCAGAGGGAACTGACCCTCTTGACTTGGTGTGGCTGAGAGAGGTACTCGTTGAGAGTGTGGAAGCCTGGATCGTCTGCATGGCCCAACAGCTGTGGGGGGCATGAGAGAGGGGGGGCATGAGAGAGGGGGGGCATGAGAGAGGGGGGGGCGTGGGGAGAGGTACTCGTTGAGAGTGTGACAAGCCCAGGTCGTCTGCATGGCCCAGTAGCTGAGTGGGGAAGGGGCGTGTGGGGAGAGAGAGGCCAAGGGGCAGATGGAGGAGAAAAAGGCTGATTGATTTTGTGTAGCTGAGTAGCTGAGTGCGGCAAGTGCAGGGAGTGCCGTGAGTGCAAGTAACAAAGTAAGCGATTGAACGGGTTGGCCGTGAAGCACGAGGCCGTGACTCGTAAGGCGCTGCGGGAAAGAATGTTAGCAGCCAGAGGCAGAGGCACTCAGCAGAATTGAATGTGCGACACAAATATCGCTGCAACAGGGGAGCAAGCGAGCTTCGAGGCAACTACAAACAGACAAGGCACTGCGAGAACCAATGCCGTGTTATGCAGATTTGAATGCATGACGCAGCCACAGCTGCAGCATTGGGGCACGCGTAGGAGCGGAGGTGCAAGCAGAGCCAGAGGTGCAAGCAGAGCCAGAGGTGCAAGCAGAGCCAGAGGCAGAGGTGCAGTAGACTTAGTTCTATAGATCGTTCCTAATCTCTTAGAAGGTTTGCAGCGGATCGAAACCAGCTGAGAGCCAGAGGTGCAAGCAGAGCCAGAGGCAAGAGTCAAAGGCCAGAGGTGAATAACGAGATACTTCCACCACACACCGCACCTTAGTGAGGCGATTGGAGAGGGATGTGTTGAGCGCACTGGGAGCAGGGCGGAACACATAAGGGTAGGTTGCAGGGGACACATAGGGCCGGGATGAGGGGAGTGGAGAGAGAGGAGGTTATGGCAAAACATGACACAGAAGGGGTGCGGAACCCAGAGACTCATCATGAGCAGCAGGAGGAAAAGAGAAGTAGAGACGATCCGGTGCTTCGAAAACATGACACATAAGGGGTGCCATCTTCATGTTGAGCCGTCTGTAGTGCAGCACCAGCCGCTTGATATGCTGCTAATCTCAAAGGTAGTCTGTCTGGCATTGACTGGCATTGACTGGCATTGACTCGCATTGACTTTAGTTGACCTAAGCCACTCACTTGCGCACCATCTTCATGTTGAGCCCTCTGTAGTGCAGCACCAGGTGCATGGCCATAGTCCTAACCTCAAAGGGCGTCTGACAGGCATTGACTGGCATTGACTGGCATTGACAGGCATTGACTGGCATTGGCTGGCATTGACTGGCATTGACTGGCATTGACTGGCATTGACTGGCATTGACTGGCATTGACTGGCATTGACTGGCATTGACTGGCATTGACTGGCATTGACTGGCATTGACTGGCATCGACTGGCATTGACTGGGGTTGACCCAGTGCACTCACTTGCGCACCATCTTCATGTTGAGCCCTCTGTAGTGCAGCACGAGGCGCACCGTCATGCCGATGTCACGACTGGCAAGGAGACCCAAGCGAGGGGCGGAACAGGGGCGGGGCGGATCAAGGAGACGGGGGGAAGGGGAGCAGGAGAGGGTGGGGACGGGATGAGAAAGTAGAGAGGCGATGAGGAGGGGATGAAAGCGGTGGAGTCGGGAATGAGAGGGAGAAGGGTGGAGAGGGGGGGGAGTGGGGAAGGGAAGGGGGGAAATTGGAAACAAAACTGGGTAAGGAAACAAACCCAAACAGCATACCAGGCGGAACGGGCACTAGAAGAACTACGTACAAGCCGAATTCACCTGAGCGTGTGCGTCTGTTGTTTTCACCTGAGCAGGTCGTCGTAAAACTCCTGGCTGACACGAAGCTCGTCCAGGGGCATGGCGCCATACTTGGCCTTCAAATGCTCGTCTCCCCCCAGGCTGGCCGGACTCACGTCTGAGAAGAAAAGGAGGACGGTGGGGGGAAGAGGGGGACGGGGTCAAACGAGTAGGCTCAAATAAGTATCTAGACGCAAGAAGTTAAAAAAGAGTGACTGAAACCTTCAAAACTTTACTCGAACAAGTTTGTTATCCTTCCACTCGCTTGTGCAACACAGGAGAAGCGACTCCTTTAACCCATTCTGCTTGCAGAGGCCGATGTGACTGGGCTTACAGAGGCCGAAGGCAGCAGGTGGGCTTACAGAGGCCGAAGGCATAAATCTTGATGGATTTGATCCTGGCAATGACTGTGTCTCTGATGCCCACCCCTGCCAGCAGCTGATGGGCACATGCATGGACGGGGCGGAAGGGGACAGGGATGAAATCTGAGTCGCCTCAGATGTCATTTGATTTGATCCTGGCAATGACCGTGTCTCTGATGCCCACTCCTGCCAGCAGCTGGGGATAGGAATTTGGATTGGGAACGGGGATGGGGTTGGGGATGGGGATGAAGTCGGGAATTGAATGGGATGGGGATGGGGATGGGTATGGGGGATGGGGATGGGGATGGGGATGGGGGGATGGGGATGAGGACGGGCGAAATACATAGGTCACCACTTTTCTGTTCACTCACCACCACTCCCTGCCCCTCCAGCCCCTCAGCACCACGCTCACCCTGCACCCCTGTCCCTCTTGCCCCTCAGCACCACCCTCTTGCCCCTCAGCACCAACCTCTTGCCCCTCAGCACCACCCTCTTGCCCCTCAGCACCACCCTCTGCCCCTCAGCACCACCCTCTGCCCCTCAGCACCACCCTCTTGCCCCTCAGCACCACCCTCTTGCCCCTCAGCACCACCCTCTTGCCCCTCAGCACCACCCTCTTGCCCCTCAGCACCACCCTCTGCCCCTCAGCACCACCCTCTGCCCCTCAGCACCACCCTCTTGCCCCTCAGCACCACCCTCTTGCCCCTCAGCACCACCCTCTTGCCCCTCAGCACCGCACTCACCCCGCCGCCCTGTCCCTCTTGCCGCAGCATGACGGGGAAGGAGTGTTTCGTCTTTGGCTCCACCACCACTCCCCTCTCCGCGCCCACACTCGCCGTCGCCACGCACGCTTGCGGCACACTGCCGGGCAGAGAGGCACAAAGGGGGAAGCGTGGCGCAGGGAGGGGAGCGGAAAGCGGAGGGAGAGAGGGGGCGGGGGAAGGGAAGGGAGAGCGGAGGGGGGTGTGGGGAAAAAAGTGAGAATAAGGAGGGCTTCGTCTGTGGCTCCACCATTATGCCTCTCTCCGCGCTGACACTCGCAGTCGCCACGCGCGCACGCGGCACACTGCGGGGGAAGAGGCGCAGAGGGACGGGGAGGGATGGGTGGGGAAAGGGAAGGGAGTGGCGGAGGGGAGGGAGGGGGAGGGGGAGGGGGAGGGAGGAAAGGAAAACGGAGGCGCAAAGGGAAGAGGAAATGGAAGTGGGGGAGGAGGTGTTTGAGGGGGAAGAGGAGGGGGAGGGGGGAGGGGGGGAGGAAAGGAAAACGGAGGCGCAAAAAGGGAAGGGACGGCATGATTGTAATTTGAGGTGTTTAAGATAGAAGAACAGGGGGAGGGGGGAGATGGGAAAAAGGGGGGAAGAGGGTGGGTGGGAGGAGGGGGACGGAGACGCATCATGCTGCTTCACTCCTACCTTCTGGCACGACGCTGATTCAACCCACCTGCCGCCATCTGTCTCGCGGGGCCGCTTCCGCCCTTCCACCACGGACGCCCCTCGCAAAACCACCGCCTCCGCTTCATCCTTCCCCACGCTCTGACCTAGCAGCGCAGAAGCCTCCGGTGAACCGTTCCCCTGCTCCCCCGCCCGCGCTCCGCTCCGCTCATCTTCCGCCGAGCACGCCCGCGCCCATCCCAGTGCGCCTAACGCCACTGCGCTCAGCGACAAAAGTCCGCCGATCGCAGACTGTCGCATGGCGATCTGCAGCCGTGCGACTCCAACGGGCAGCGCACCCAAACCTGGCCCGGCTGGGCCGACGACTGCCGGCGTGACAGCCGCAGCGGACGGCTGTAGCAGGCCTTTCGCCGGCTGTAGCCACACGACGCGGTGGGAAATGTGCGACGCGACAAGCGGGCCTGCTGCGCGAGTCGACGCCGCTACAGCCGCAGCGACGAGCCGGCCGGTTCCGGATCCGAGCCGCTGATAGAAGCTCGCGCTTGCTCCCCCAACGCCGAGCCCCAGTTGAATGCACGCGTTTCCAGATCCCGTTAGTGGAATAATCTCCATCGGCGACGCGTTACAATCGTGTGTTCCGGCGTTTAGTTCCGGCGATCCAGTGATGTGGTCCACGGAAGCGTCGCTCAGTCTGTCGCACGCGTGGGAGTTGCTCGCTTGCAAGCGGTGTGCGACGTCGCAGGCAGCGGAGAAGAGGGAGGCGACGGCAGACGTGGCAGCTGCTGCGACGGAGAGATCGCTTCCCGGTATGTCATGGCCGCCGAAGCTATTAAAGACCATTTTGAGTGTTCTGATCAACAACCCGAAATGGCTTCAGCTGGTTTCAAACGCTTCGACGACAGAGAGATACACCGACGGTGACTTAAACTGGATTGAGTTGGACGGGCCGGTACTGCCCACGGAAGCGACCGCTCACAGATGCAGCTATAGCGAATCAGCCTCTGCACCGGATGTGGGAAAACGCTAGACCAGGAGAGGAGTGGAGAGGACTGCAAGTGTACTGTCCACCTGATATTCAAGTGCTCTGGTGTGCAATGGAGGAAGGAGAAGCCTCGGGGAGATCGAAAGTAGGTCGAGGAGTTCTCAAGGTGGACGAACTTGAGGAATCCAAAATCCAGACTCGGGGTGGACTGGAGCATTTGGGTTGCACTGCAGCGGCACTGGCAGGCATCTCGCCCGACACGAGCGGGGGCCGTGTAAAGAATGTGGGAGGATGGGATGGGTTGAGTGGGGTGGGACAGGATGCGATGGTCTCAAGGGTGGTACCGTAAGCGCAGTGCTACGGAGTCGTCTATCACTGCTCTGCAGGATAGCCATCCTCGAATTTATCGACGATTTGTGATTGGGCAACTTTACAACAAGCTCGCTGCAACCACAAGTGGCACGAGCCAAAAGGCGGAACACATTTGCAGAATACTACAGTATACAAGCATGACCTCAGCCAACGTTGTGCACAAATGCACTATAAGAATGTGTGTATGTTGAGTGAAAAGTCTAGCACATTCTATCCCACTTTTCACTCATCATTTCTTCTCAGGCTACTGTACACAAGAAATGCATCCCCACTAGCAGCCAATCATCTTGGCTACAGAACCAAAAACACGTGATATCCCTCATCCACCTCTAACCCTGAAAAGTAATCTCATACACAGGCAGCTCATGGTGAGCACTGGTCATCACCACCACACTATCAGTTCGCGAGGAAATCACGGTCCGCACCATGAGCAGCACGAAGAGGATAAGCTTCCACACAGGCCCAGCAGGGCCCGAGCGGGTTGGAGTGACATACGACCTGCTGATGCTTGCATGGCAGCCAAACCAATGCTGGCTGGCCCTCATGCCTTCCTTGAAGATGGAGTTGATGTTCTCTGGCGGGGTGCCGTGGAATGCAAGCTGCAGAGGGAGTGGCAGGCCGCTTGCTTGGGTCTGTCCGTCGACCAGATTGCCTGGGTATCAAGAGAGGTGAGAACAAGAAGAGCAGGAGAGCTTAGGAGGAAATGGGGAGTGAGAACAAGGAGGTGACGGAAGAAGGCAGGGGGTTAACAGGTAGGAGATGGCACAAAGCCACGAGTGGCACAAAGAAGTAAGTATTACAAAGCATCCAGAACAAGACATTTTTTTTCCGCACGCAGGCAAAGTGCACATGAGAATCACAACAAAGCACAAACAAGTCCCTTCATCAATGCCAACTCTCACACACAGAGGATCAAACGCAGACTGCAGCTCTGCCTCACACCTCACTGAGTCTCGTGTCAGGCTCAAGCTCGCAACTCACTGGGGCTGAGGTTGGCGCAGCCAGTGGCGATGCCTTCCATGGACTGCACGAACTTGTCAAACACCGGCTGCCCCAGCTGCAGGTTCGGGTTCCGCCGCTTCCCAATGATCTGGTATGGCGAAATCTTTCCCGCCAGCATCTTCATCACATTGTCCTCTGAGCAGAAGGCTTCCAGTGTTGCGCCTAACAGCTGCATCAACGCAATTCAGCGAACCATGAATGTATGGGCAAGGAAGGATACAACATCTCTAAGAACCATTTATACATGTATGTGAACAGCCGTTTTCCACTCGTGGGCCCTCACCTGCTTGCGATCCTCCCCAGTGGACCCCAGAGCCAGCTTGAGCAGCTCAAGAGGGTTGTGTGGAAACTGCACCACTACATCCCTCTCCCGGCCCGTGAACGGGTTCCTCTGCACCATGCGCTGTAAATCAATGGTATACACCACGCCCAAGGGGTACGCTGCTGTGACTATCGGGGCGGTTTGCGCGCACATGTAGCCCTGTGCGCCGGCTCGGAAGATGGCTCGGGCCGTTGCTGCGTCGTACTGCTGCAAGTTGTTGCGGCTGTCTCGCCAGTGGATGGTCGGCATCGGCGCTCCTCCCGGGAGCTGAAGGCCCTGCGATTGCACAACATGCGAGCACACACAAAAAACGGGCAGAATGAAAGAATGAAAGGAAGAACAGAAAGAAAGCAAGCACTTCTATAAGTGAGCAGAGATGAGAACGACAAGAAACTGGCTCGGCATCTCCACTCAAAGGCATCTCGGGATTTCCAAGGCTCGCCTTACCTGCTGATTCGGCATTCCCAAGGCCTGGGACGGCGCAGGAGCAGGCGGCGCCGCGCCAATCACCTTAATCGCTCGCGCGTACCCGCTCTGCGCGTTCCGCTGCGACATGGCGCGCAGATCCGCGGTATAGCGCGCGCCGTTAGGGTACACGCCGGACGCGAACGTGCCGAGGTCGAGCGACGGCAGCCCCCCGGCGATGGCGTTGCGGACGGCGTTCTGGAGGTGCGGCGGATAGCGGCGCCACTGCGCGTCGTCGCGCCACCACACGCCGGGCGTGGCGGGATCCGCACACGGCAGGAGATTACACATGGGCGCGGGTTAGGTTTGTTGATGTTTCACGTGAAGGTGGTGGCGCGGGTGTGATCTTCGTGAGGAATGATCGGCTAAGGGAGGGAAGGCGGAGGAGCGATGATGCTCGCAGACACACGCGGTCAGTCGGAGAGAGAAAATCCGCCTTAGCTGGGTTCTGACTGAGGCCGCCGTAGGTCCTAGTAGGCTGTGGCTTTCCTAATCGAATTCGTCCAAACCGATTTGATTGGAGGCAAGAAAGGCTTGATATTCTCACTCTCGGAAAGTCCGCGGCAACAACGCGTCTCGCCACGCCTTAAGCTCGCCTCCCTTCACAGACCCGCTCATGCTCACCACGCTCGTGCCTTGCCTGCGCCGTGCTCCGAGCCCCGCATGTTGCTGCTTGCTGCGCGCTGCTGCTGCTGCTGCTGCGTGCTGCTGCCCCGCATCGGCGCGCCATGCATCACCATGCGTTGCGTTTTAGGAAGCCAAGACTGCATGTACGACTCGAAACCTAAGAAACGAACCATGAATGTGTTACACGACGTCAAGCATCCCCTCCTATCAACATGTGTCGCTGGCAAGAATTCGTCCGGAATTCCATATCCTCGTCATCCAAGCCATCCTCTACGGTTAGCAGTCATTGCATGACCTGCTTTCGCGCTGGCGTGGAGCCATTCCCACCCGCCATGCACCAATGCCGCAGCCCGCCCCATCATAAACTTTCCTTCACTAGTAGTTTCCATGACTAGACTCGAGAATGGATGCGAGTTTCAGAGCATAAGTGAGTTCACTCCAGAACGGTTCAAAACTGTTTGATTGGTTATACAGCTGACTATGTTGGGTTCCCGGGAAACAGTTTTCCGGACTGACTTTTTCTCAAAAACTCCGGTTCCTCAGGGACTTGCCTCTACATTGAAGCAGTTTCGATTCCCGTTTGAATTCAGAGATTTGAATCTGAAGTACGCAGCTAAGGGAATGGATTTATATCCCGACTGTCGCGTTTACCGCGGTGTTGGAAGCGGCTTAGGGTGAAGAGTAACTTGAGCGTGGTTGCAGTAGATGTTGCGCTCTCCATCATTGGTCGAGAGGGTCCCGTCACGAGTGACAGAGCAACGCGGACTGCAATTCCCCCATCCTGACTCATCTTCAATTCCCTCCCAAGATCCAAAGAATTAGAGGCAGGTATGTCGTGGGCCTCGCGATCACCTAAGTTGAGATCGCCAGAGCCGCTAGTGTGTGTTGTGTCGAGCGGCCTACTACGATTACGCCCCTCATTTGCATTGCATTGCGAACTAGAACACATCCGTAGACATACAGTAGTACAAAAAAGTATGGAATTCGGTGATTAATCTCTCTCTTTCATGGTACAATAGAGTGACAGTACTTACAGTTGGTTCTGATAAGCAACCAGCACCCAAAAACGGGAAATGAGGAGATCAGGAACCATACACTACCAAAAACACCAATCGCTGTAGCAATCACGGCTGAAGCCCCAAACGCTGCTGCAGATTGTCTTGCCTCCAGGCTTTTCTCAGGATCTGGGTTTATTCCCGCTACTTAAATTTACAGTCGAAAATCAGATAGTGTCGTTGCCTCAAGATGATGACGCTCGCTGCCAAGGGCCCAGACACGAACCTCTGGCTGCTGGGGCCATGACGTACCCGCCATCCCCATCCACGCTTCTCCTCCTGGTGGCCAGTGCAGCGTCGCATAGGTCCATCCCTTTCCTCTCTGCTGACGACAGGCTGTGTCGCCGAGGGGCCAGCGACGCCTGCGGCGAGTCGCAATGCGTGGAGGCGGCGCACTGCACCTCGCACGAGCAGGAATTGCTCATGTCGTGGCAACTCCGGCAAATGCTGGACGATAACTTGAAGACAACATCCCATTCCGATTCGGCGATGCGCGCTTCGAGTTCGCTTCGCACACTGCTGCATCCGGGCGACGAAATCCTTGTAACAGTCTCGGCCGTCGCGAGTAAATCGCGCTGAACGCTGCGCGTTAGCGGGATCGCGTCACTCGAGGCGGCTCCGCCGGCTCGGAGGCTCAGGCGCGAAAGCGGAAGAACCGGCGACCCCTCTCGCGGAAGCGGAAGAACCGGCGACCCCTCTCGCGGAAGCGGAAGAACCGGCGACCCCTCTCGCGAAAGCGGAAGCACCGGCGACCCCTGTCGCGGAAGCGGAAGCACCGGCGACCCCTCGCTCGAAACAGAGCAGTGACGAGAAGGCGCCGGGAGGGTGGTCACCTGCTGGGCAGCACGCTTCGGCGTGAGGAAATAGGTTTCGCCCGGCACGAGAGGGGTGGTTGGTGACACGACGGATACGACCGATGTGAGGTGCGTGTCAGGATACTCAGAGAGGACGGTCTGAGCCGTTAGATGCTCGCCGGATTGGGTCGATGAATCGTCAAAGAAACGAACGGAGCCGTCAGGGAGCATGACGATGACTGGATCATTCTCTACTATGGTCTCTGCTACGGCTGTGGAGGTTCTGAAGGAGAATTTTCGCGGAGCTATGGCGCTGATTGAAGCCATGTCGGGAAGTGATTGCGAATGCAATGCGGAGTCACATTCGCCGAACTTATATCTGAGGCGAGCGGGTCACCCTCTCGACAAGGTCCGCGAGTACGGTACTCGCGGCTGCGCGACGATGAGGGCGACATTGTCGACTCGAGAAGGTCGACGAGGAAAGCTACTTTGAAGAAACGGAAACTGATGCAGTTCATCGCTTGATATCGATCTTAGCGTTTTTTTACATCGAGGCGTTTGAATTTAGGAGGCAAAATTAATTGCTTGATCTCGATCACGTGTGCCTTCGAATCGAGATCCGCGTCCCATCGAGATTTGTGAACGGGAGCTGCATGTCACCTTCCTTTTTCCACGTCGCGAAATTTGTGGTTTAGAATTCCAGTACAGTATTAGAACGCATTAGTCAAGTGATTGCGCCAGTGGTATGAAATATGGTGTGAAACGTACACCACAGAAAACGCAGTGGAGGGAAGCGCGGAAGTGGATCAGTCACTCGAATACTTGCACTACCCGTCTGATCTGATGTTGCGGGCTGGCTGCTGTTGCGGGCTGGCTGATGTTGCGGGCTGGCTGATGTTGCAGACTCGGGAGGGAAGGAATGGAACGGGATGGATGACTGACAGCCGCAGAAACGCAGTCGAGGGAAGCGGGGAACTGGACCAGTAGTGTTTGCGAGCACGTGATCACCAGAGGTGAAGCGTAGGGGCAGAGAACAGTGGAACGGGTTTCGGGTTGATTTGGTTCGGCTGCGTTACGAAGAAAAAAACGCATGCCACGTAGTATTGTCGCGTTTGGGTCATGGTAACGGGGCATTTCGAGAGAGAATTACTGAAGAACCTGGATCCGCTGTCATGCTTCGTTACATTTCAACAAGCATACAGACATGCATAAACCCTTCCTAGAAGTGTCTTACTACCTCAAACATCAAAAGACCATCGCCAAAACCCGAAACAAAGTATTGCTTCCTAAGACATCTACAGCCGCATGTCGACCAAGTAGGGCACGTCCACCCATGGTGCTCCCTCTCCAAACTCCTGCTCCCCACCCCCTCGCTCCACCCACTCCGCCTTGGACTGACCCAGCGTGTATGCCGCCCGCAAAAGAATCACCCGAGCCTGCGCCTTCTGCGAAGCTACCCCTACCGCGGCTGTCAAGGACCCCACCAAGTATTCCGAGAAACCCGAGCTGTTGCCCCTTCCCACACCTTTGTTAAGAGCCACCTTTACTTGAACCTCCCCCTGCTGCCGTAACCACTGTCGAAAGCTTCCCCCCAGGCAACCCCAAGTCTCAAGAATCAACGGGAAGAAACGACCCCCCCTGTGCTGCCGCAGAAAAGGTTGATAATCCGTCGCCTTCCTCTTCTCTCGCTCCTTGGCAGCAAAATCTACTGTCCGCCCACACTGCCCATGCTGCTGCACCGGTAGCGAAACCGGATCCACGACGCTCACCTCGAGCGCATGTTTTTCCCCGTCCATTGGTTTCCTAACCGCCACATCCACTCTCTTCCCCGGCAGAAGCGTGTCATCCTCGATCGTAACCACCCCACCCGATGCCTTGGCTATCTTAGCAACAACGAGCTTCACTGCATCATGAACACGAGACGGGGCGTACTGGTACTTGCACCGAAGAGCATGGTGCGGATCTGACGGGTCCTTGAACTCCACACCGCAAACACACTTGCCAGCAACCAGAAGCTGGTGGACGGGAAGGCCCAAACGGATTGCCGCCGAAATGCCCCACTCCACAGGGGTGAAAGTTGCGTCATCATGCGCTGGAACTGCGGACACCCATGCTGCCGAACCCGGGCCCTGAAGGGAAGTCAAACGGGCCAAGGTAGCATCATCGCGGGCCATGCGCCGCAGAGACTGAAGACTTTCAACCGCCAAGCGACGCTGCTGCGCTGGGAAAAGCTGGAGGGGGGGATTTGTAGTGCAGAGCCCCAAACTCGGCAATTCCTGCCTGACAACAGGCAGGAGCTGGTCAAGGGCCTTGGTAAACCAAGGGTCCAGTAAATCCCCAGCCGGCGGAGTGCGGAAGAACTCACTGAACATCTGCTCCTCGCCCGCTACTCCCAGCTTGACAACAGCACTCGCAGCCTGGCACCACCCACAGACGTAAGAGAGAGGGCTAAGAGTTGCTGCTGAACGAATGCCAAACCCGCCCAAACGAGCCGGGAGGTGCAGCTGCAGGTGAGCCATGCGCGACCTATCAGGACTGAAGTCCCAAGTGTCTGGCGGGAATAGTTGCTCAAAGCACTCTTCCAAAGCCCCATCCCAATCTCTGAAAGCGTCAAGAACCTCAGGACGAGGGGGAACAGTGCGAGTCAAGAAGAGCGGCCGCGCAGACACGGCAACAGCCAACAAGTGGGAGGCAATCTGGGGGTGGTTCAAAATAGGAAGCCAAGGTAGAGGTGATCGCAGCTGCAAAAGTCTCTCCCTCAAGCGCGCCACCTCCCAACCCTCCTCTCCAATAGGTACCCCCACCACTGTTAACC